ACCTTTGCAACTGCAGTCAGACAGTGATGAAAATGATGAGAATGAAGATTCTTCCCTGGTAATGAAAGAGCTGAGACCTCTGAAAAAAACTGAAAAATTGTATGAAACAAGTTCTGGTTACACAGAATCTTTTAGTGTAATTGATGACAGCGATATTCTGAGTCCATCAGAAGATATAATTTCAGCACAGCTAAAGTTTAGAGCATGCCTGAAAATTCTTACTATAGAGCTTCGTACGCTGTCCACTGGTTACGAGGTGGATGGTGGGAAGTTGCGGTATCAGCTTTATCAGTGGCTTGAGCGAGAAGTGGTAGCTCTTCAAAAGACCTGTGATTATAGTGTTGAAGTGGACGAGATACAGTCAGGAATTAGCATGATGCCAGAGGAAGCTACATTACATGAAAACACTGAAGACTTAGCTGACCAACAAAGAAATATCCTACAGAAAGAAGACTTTCAGAAAAGGCGTCAATGGCTTCTGAAATACCAGTCTCTCCTAAGAATGTTCCTTAGTTACTGTATACTTCATGGCTCACATGGCGGAGGCTTGGCATCTGTCAGGATGGAACTAATTCTGCTATTGCAGGAATCTCAGCAGGTATGTGGGGGACATTAGTTTGTGTTTTCTCTGCTTCAGATTTGTATATCTATTTGAATGTGGTTTGTATTATTGTTGAAGTTTTCCTTGCACTTGTTTTATAATAAATGCAAATCTGTTTTTATCATGTTACAATTTGTTTAGGTTGGGTTTTTTGTTTAGAATCCCTTTCACTTGCAGAAGTTCTTAAGGTCCTGTTCAGAAGACGTACTATCAATTTTTGTGTGTGTTTCTTGCCTTTTTTTAGGAGCAGTCAATACAGGTACCTTCCAGCCCTCTACCCGAGCAAAGCTCTATACCTCTCCTATTTGCTTGCACAGCTAGTGCCAAGACAGTGGTGGCTAATCCACTGCTACATCTTGGTAATTTAACTCATGATATATTACATGCCATAATAAACCTTGATTCACCACCTCATCCAGATACTCAGGACAGCAAGGTATGTATGTTTTTGTAGTTGTTTTGTCATTATCTAGTTTCCTGAATGCATGAATTTTTTTTTCTGACAGCATGATAACTTTCTGCTGTGCCTATCTGTGCCAAAGAGTAAAACTGAAGCATAAAACGTTGTCTGTGGTACTTACCTTGAGCTAAAACAGTGTCCACTGATTGGTTATTACTTATTGGTGAGGTGCTGAGCATCTGGTTCAACAAGCTGAAGTAGATAGGCCTCTCTCAGAACTGGATATTTGTCCAAGATGACATCTATCCTGGAAAACGTGTACTACACTGTCAGCATCATATTTGTCTTTATGACAATATGATCATTGCTTCTCTTACATTAATGGTAAACTCTGCATTTTATTCCTAGACCTAGGTAAAATGAAGTAATAAAGACTTGTCAGCAAAGTAAACTCAGAACTTTTTGTGAAGCAGTATATATTTTCATTCATTTATTCATTAAATTTTTAAAAATTACATTTCTCTAACATTTTTCTATATTTAGCCTTTGACTGGAAATGAAAAAGTGTTAAGTTAAATCTTTTCTGAAGTTTTGCATGTGTAAGGTCGCAAATCATGTTTGCTTTCACTAGGGATTCTAGAGAACACTCCAGGGATTTCTCAGTTCCTAGTTAGCCTCTTAGAGGGAACAGACAAATAAATATAATAAATGCTTTTTTTAAAAAAAAAATCTTTTAGATGAACAGATTGCCTGGCTTTTTACCTAAGCATGTTCTGTGATACAGAAGTATCAGCTGTGTTAAAAATACTGATCAGCCTGATACTGAGTAAATTGTGTGTGTGCCCTAGAGCTGTACAAGAATTGGTCAAAAACTAGGCTGCGGTGTAATTTTTGTTCTCAAACAAAGCATTTGTTTCCTGATACAGTATGTTGCTATTATTTTAGGGTATAATTACTTAGGAGTGTTGTATAGAGGTTTAGTATGTTGCTATTTATTAATCCAAGCCATTTTAGCTAGAGCTGATCTGTTATTATGGGTTGGTGAGGTGAGTGAGTACTTCTCCATTCCCTTCATTGCAAAGCGCACTGATTTATCTCAGATAACTTCTGAAGAGAAGGGTGGCTTTGTAAGTGCAAAATTGCTTATACTTTCCGTGTTCAATACTGGTTTCACTGTTAGAAATCTGTGTGCATGAAAGGCAGTTTCTTTCCACTAACCACAGCTCACTTAAGCGTAATATGTTGTATAAAACTTTGTCTTACAGATATACGTAATGCATACCTTAGCAGCATCGCTCTCTGCTTGCATCTACCAATGTCTTTGTGATGGCCACAGCTACAGGTAAGAGTCTACAAAAAGTGCTTTTTTCAGAGAACAGTCAACACGCTGTCTCATTGTAGCGATGATAGTGCACCAGAAGGTGGCGCTCACACCTGCCTACGTCTACAAGGCGCTATCACTTGACTAGTTGTGAACATAACTTTTTTTAATAAATGTAGTATCCCACTTTTCTATTTCACAGCTCATTTAAAGCAAATCAGTTCACTGGGACAGTGTATCAGACAGTGCTGTTAACTGAACGCCATTCTTTAAGAGCAACAAGCTTAGAAGAAACAGTGACTCCCAACACATCCCCTGCTCAGTGGCCAGGTATATAGAGTTATTTGTTTCTTTTCTCTTATGGAAAACTGCATTATCTGGATCCACTGTAAGAACATGTAGCTATGCTCTGGACTTTCTAGCAGTCTTTGTAACACCTGTGTGATAAAATTATTTCAATAAAATTTTGTCTTTTTTTTTCCCCCTCAAAACCTGTAAGCTAGTGCTTCTAGTTATTCATTAGTTCAAGTTGGTTTGTGTTGCTTTCTCTTGCTAAAAACTATTAGTGGGGACTCTGGTAAAGGGCAAGTACATGGGAGTTAGGGTGAAGTCGTGTCCTGTGCTCTCCTTGCTTCCTCTGCCAGCCAACAGATCAGTCTCACCAGTACTGTACTTGCTTATTCCTTAAAAGGACTCAGAAGGCTGTCTTAGTTTGTGCTTCAGCTTGGAATTATTGTAGCTTACAGACAGCTTTTTAACTAACTTGAAACTATTGAAAATGTTTATAATAAATTGTTCTTCTGTAGCTCTAAAATCCATGTCACACTTAAGGTAATTCTTAAACTATGCTGGAATCTTTGCTAATGAAGCAACACTATGGAGCCATGTTAGAGAGCATTGGCAGTGTAATAGATGTATGAGCTTCAGTTTACAGCACTAACTTTAATGCAAGTATAACCAAGAAATATGCTTTCTTATTATGGGATTTGTTTTTTCCATCAGAAAGTGTCACATTAAAAAAAATTCTTGGGAGCGCCTTAAGCAGTCTTTGTGTTTGATGCTATACCACTTTTCTGCAAAACATCCTATCACAATCTACAGATTTTAGAGAGAAATCAGAATGTCATCTTCGCTCTCCTTATTTCATTAGCTACATTAGTTGCATGAGTGATGAATGAGGCAAGGAATTGTTAGCAGTTGTTCTTACAAGTAACATCACCTTAAACTGATTTCTCTTTTTTAATAGCTTCACATGCTATAAGTGCTAATTGGAGAGTATGACACAAAGCAGAATTCTATGGCCACCACAATTTCCATTTTCACATACGTGAATAAAGTGTCACAGATGAAACCATATCTGAAACTACGACTTTTTGTGGGAGCCTAAAAACACGGGAAGATGTTTAGTACTTGGGTGGAAGAACACTTGTCAGACAAGTGTGGCTCAAGTTGATGCCCATGATTTTTGATTGGTTTTACAACTGTAAAGTGAGAATATAGCATTTCAACTTAGAGAACTATGCTGTAGTTATAATTATTGAAAAATTGTTATATATATGTCATTAACTGTTAGTCCAAAACATGAAGCTGAAAAGCTATAATGAACTGTCAAAAATAAAGTGTGTTCTTCTTTCTCCTGGAGTTTTCAGTTTCCTCTAAAACTTAAAATTTTTCTACATAAGAAATTACTAAATAACATAGGTTGCCAGTCAAAATACCCATAATAATCTGGAATATGTTCTCACACACATATGTGCTTTTTAAAAGACTTTATTTATTTTGTATAAACAGGAATGACAGCTCTAATACGTCTCTTGAATTCTGCTGGTGAGGAGGCCCAGCCAGGTCTCACAGTTTTACTTTGTGAAATTCTTACTGCGGTCTATCTAAGTCTGTTCATCCATGGCCTTGCAACACATTCTAGCAATGAGTTATATAGAATTATGGCTCATCCACTTAACAACCAAATGTGGTCTGCTGTCTTTGGAGGAGGAGCTCATACACCCAGCAGAGGACAACAGCAATTAAAGGCAAAAATGGGTTAGTTCTCTTTGTTTACTTATATTTATCTTCTGGGGGGTTTAAGTGAATTATGTGACTGCTGAAAGCTTAAGAGTAATTGCTTTAAATTATTCATGATCGGTAAGAATTCAGTATGTTTTTAGATCTGCATAGAAAAACAAGGATCTAGAAATATTGCGTAGATATTGTGTAGAAGAGAGCAGAAGTGAATGCTATTGAAATAAGGTTTCCAAGTAGCACAGCTGCTGTAATGTGAGACAGTTAAGTTCATTGCAAAGAGAAAGTTTCTAATACTTTTACAGCCTAGTGTTTTATGTTAATTTTAAAGCTTTCCAGTTTTTTCATAATAGCAATATATTCCCATTTTACAAATACAGTATGTTTTCTCTCTTTAACAGGTAGGCACTTCCCAATGCCTAGCCCTCATCAGGTAGTAGTGTTCTCCATGGAATGCGTGGGGTTTTCCAAATCCTTTACCGCCTTCAGTACTCATAGTCCTACCAAATCTTCAGGCAAGATATTAGATTTAGTACTAGGCCTCTCTCCATGCAGTTTGCTATATGTGGGTTTTTTTGCATATGCAGCAAGGCAGAAAAACTTCTGTTTGCAAGCCATGACATCAAAATTTAAAGTAAAGTTTTGTAATTGCAGCAGCAGTTGAACTGGCACTTCTAAAAAAGAAAATTGTCAGTGCTATTGTATTCTTACTACACTTCATTTGAAATCAATGTTAAGTATAAAATTACTTTGACCATGGTTTGAAAGGATCAGAAGTGTTTCATATCTTTGTTGGAAAGCTGCTTGTTTTGCTTTTTAAATATAAGCATTATTATGCATGTGGATTTCTAAGTGTTTATTTTAGACATGACAAATTAAAGGTGTCGTACTGATATTCAAATATGATAGTCTGAGAACCCTTTAAGAAGGCAGGCAACCTTCAGTTTTTAAATTCAGTTGATGATAAATTATCCTGGGGTGCAGAATGAATTCCTGTAGTGTTGTGAAGTTTTTTGTACACTTTTGTGCTTTATAATTTAGTTGAACTACTATAAAACCAAGAGAAAAAATAGTATAGATTACCTGTTTTTTAAAAGGAAGACTTTATAAAGATAAATTTACTTAAGCTGTGTTGACTTTGTGCATCACGTCTGAATATATATACAGAGATAAAATGTAACTTTATGTAATTTTTATCAATTCTATTACTGATACGAGATGTATGTTGCATATAAAAATGTCTTACCATGCATTGAAGGAAAACTGTAAATGCAGTCTGTTTAAATACTGTCTTTATCAGACTTTTAGAAAAGTGTTTTCCAGAGATCTTTAATCAAAAGTGAGCTCTTACTCTAGATCTGATCAGTTTTCTCTGTGATGCTGGATAGGTATTTCTCATTATCACTTTGGTAAGGTAAATATATTTGCCATTGCAGAATTGCTGGAAGTCCTAACTGGCTTTTGTTGGCAATTCTGTTTCCTAGGTGGTGGCAATCGTATACTGAGGTGTGTTAATGCTGTTGCTACCACTGATTAAAATGATAAGTGTTTTTACGTACTAGTGTGTTCAGAATCATGTACTAAATGGCCTGCCTAATGCATGGTTTTCTTGAAAATGAATGTGGGCTGTCTGATCACAGATTTAGTAAAATTGTTCCTGGAAAAATCAAGAAGCTCAAACTGAAAATTTAAGGGAAGCAGGGACCTTTTTAAATACTAGTGTGTAGGCATAATCTAACACTTGGACAAGGGGCCTAGAGGGGTTGTGGCATCTCCATCTTTGGAGTTACTCAAAAACATGAACAAGCTGGGCCATCATGTAAGTCAGCCCTGTTCTGAGCAAAGGGTTGTACCAGTTGTCTTCCAACCTATGTAATTCTAGGATTCTGTAGGTTATTTGTGCTAATTTGTGTTTTATATAGAGCAAATCTGGAAGAAAGCATTTTGGAGAAATAACTTTCTGTCTCTTTAAAAGTACAGGTGGCAGAAGAGAGAGTAAAAGTAGACCCCCAGTAAAGCGGAGGAGTAGGATTAAAATCACTTATATTTTTATGCCTTTACTATGATCTCATGCTTTTTCTTCTGACACACAGAAATTAATACTTCGAAGTGACTGGAATGGCTTATTCAGTCAACTACGGCATGCTCTTTCATAATAATATTTAGATTTTTTAATAGCTTTCCATTTTGTTACGCGTAACTAGACTCTTTTCTCCTATATTTATTTTTAGGTTTTTTGAAGTGTTTCCACTCTCAAGTGGAGATCAAAAGCCCAAAAATTCCTAACACTAGTGATTCTAATGTAACAATACTATACATCCTTTATGGTTTCTCTGCCTTGACTCCCCTCCAATCCTTTAGCATGTATCTGAATGTGGATGTTGATCTCCAAGTTTCAAATTTATTTTAAGAGATCATAACACTATGTACAGTGCTGACCAGTAAAGTTACGTGATTTCTCTTTCTGCTGTTTTAGTTACTTGAGCATTCATTAAATTTATCACCATGGCCACATGAGCTATTTCCTGTGTGTAATCAGAATATCGTGCTGAAATCTTCAGGATTTGTCAGCTTGCAAAATGCAAATTTTTGTGTTGGGAGTCTAAATATCCAGCAGTGTAGAATTTGGCCAGGCTGCTGTTCTAGTTGGCTCTCATAGCTTCCCAGAGAATTGCAGAAGTCTGTGCAGAGCTTTAGGCTTACTAAAATGATTCAGGGTGTAATTCAAAATTGGTATTTCTTTGCCATGTTTCTGCCATTACACTTTGTGCTGTGCTTTGGCACTGCTGGTATTTGCTGATGTCTGCAGTGAAGGATGATGCTTTTATAAGAGGAGGACTCAATAATTTTACCAAGTTTAATGAAGATTTGTGTCTTTCATAAGACATTGGGGTGTTGATGGTTTGTGCCCACACACAGTCTGCAATAAACTGCAGTAACTCTGGCTGGCATTCTAGTTTTTGGAGAAGTTGAAGGAGATCTCCCTTTTAGGTTTTCCTAGGAAGGAGGAAGGGAGGCAACAGGTCTTTTGATTATCATTGCATGTATTTGAACTTGGCAGAAATTGAGGGATTTTTCTTGTCTGAAATATTCCAATATTCTTGGAAATAACATAAATTTTATGTTTGTCTTATAAATAAAATGGGTGCAAAGATAAATGCTTTGAAGACAAAAACATCATATAAGAGAGTTTTAGCTAGAAATACACAAGAAATTTGAAAGTGAATGTAATTGATGATCTGAAATCCTAAATGACAAAGTCAGATTTTTAATGAATTTGTTAATGTATTTAATTTTTTTTTTTAGAATGCATAACAAGAAATTGGTACTAGTAGTATGTCTTTCAAACCGCTTTGAAAGTACTTTGGTGGTACTTTCATTTGCCTTAGTGATTTTTTTTTTTTTTTTTTCCCCAGTGGCTAGCCTGAAGTATTCTTAATGTGCAAAGAATGGTCCAACAAAAGGGAATAAAGTGCTCTTTCAAAGTAAAACATTTGCTTTTCAAATTCTGCTTAGAAAACAACCTGCAAATGTATACTTGCTTATTTCTATATCATGCAACACTTGCTCCTTATTTCATGCCTAGTGGATTTCCTTTTTTATTTTAAGCAGCTGCTAAAAGTTCATAGTGATGCATGTGCATGCTCTTTCTTAACTGGTGAACTTTTAAACAATGAAATGAAAATGCATTCTACTGCAATGACTGTATTTTTTACTTTTTGTACAGGTAAGTGGATTTCAAATAATATCCATGTATAAAAAAATATTACGGTACAGTATAGTAGTGCAGCACACCATTAGTGATATCCCTGTTTCAAGATGAAAGATGAGCTGTCTTCATCTTTTATTAGATTCTATAAAAAATTACTTTGTAGCAGCTAAGCCCCATGCCACTGCCTGCTCACTCCCCCACCAACAGGACTGGGGAGAGAATCGGAAGGGTAAAAGCTAGAAAACTCATGGGTTGAGAAGAAAACAGTTTACTAGAGAAAGCAAAAGCTGCACACACAAGCAAAGCAAAACAAGGAATTAATTCACTGCTCTCCATGGGCAAGAGTTGTTCAGCCATCTCCAGGAGAGCAGGGCCCTATCACATGTACTGGTTACATGGAAAGACAGGGGCCATCACTCCACACATTTCCCCTTTCCTTGTTCTTCCTCCAACTTTATATACTGAGCATGATGTCATATTGTATGGAATATCTCTTTGGTCGGTTTGGGTCACCTGTCCCAGTTGTGTCTTCCCGGCTTCCCATGCGCCCTCAACTTCCTTGCCAGTGTGACAGTATAAAAAGCAGCAAAGGCCTTGGCTCTGTGTAAGCTCTGCTCAGCAGTAACAAAAACATATCTACATTATCAACCCTGTGTTCAGCACAAATCCAAAACATAGCCCTGTACTAGCCACTGTGAAGAAAATTGACTCTACTTCATCCAAAACAGCACAGCAGTTCAGCTGCTTGTGATTGTAATGTTCATCTTCATATGTGGTCAAAAATCTTTCTGAATATCCTTGAAAATATACGGTTTCTTCTGGTCTAAAAGTGACTAGAAACTATGAAAAAAAATTCCATCAGCTACCATGAGTACAAAGAATATGTCCATTTGAAAAAAAACCCCATCAACCAAAAATCCTGGGGTATAAAAAAACTCCAGAGTTTTTTTATAAACAACTCACTTAAATCATACTTGACTTGGGGTTTACAGTTGGCTCAGTTTGTGTTACGAGCAAGTCCTATATATGCAAAACAACCGTTTATAAATAAGCAGTATTTCTTTTGTCCCGTGTGTTAGACCATCTGTTTTTTATGTGATTGAGGTACACATAAGAGTTTTGAAGGAAATAGTCTTTCAGGCATCTATCAAGACTCAAAAGTCTCCTGTGGATAAAACTTACAAACAAAAAAAAAAAAGTGTGTAGGAAATACTTCTTTGTCATAGTTCACTGCAGGACTATGTAAGTGTGCTGGCTCTTTTTTTGCCATCCTCAGCACTATGAACGGGAGAAGGTAATTTTGGAGTCCTTAGCGGCACTTAGTTTTGTGGGCAGGTTGTAGCAGAAGGGAATAGGAAAGTTAAAATATTTTTTGTGATGTTTGTATTAGTTTATCCTTGTAACCAGTCTGCCAGTCATCATGTTTGTTGGTGCTTGAACTCAGTGATGGGGATATCTGTTCTCCAGGTCAGCACTTTGGCTTGCAGATTTGCTTTCTTGGATCCTGTTTATTACTGCTATTAGAATAGCCAACCCATATTCCACTCTACTTAAGAAAAAGACTCAGTGAAATAGGTTTTGGAAGTTTTGTGGACTCCAAAAGGAAGTTCAAATACTCAACTTCATTTTGATTTTAATGTTCTAGCTTTCTTTGTTTTACCTAAGTCTTGAACCCATTCTTTGGTTTCATTATAGCAGCTAATCTCCATGCATTACATGTATCTACTTGAAAGTAAAATCACCACCTTTTGCAATCAAGTAGGAATTTAATTCAAATACATTTTGTCTGTTATGGAAGATGAATGATGGCCACCATGTTGTATCAAATCTCCAAATGTGATTCCTTTTCTCCCTTGTTGTTTCTACTTCAGATGTGTTCTGGAGAGCCGGTACACCAACTTACTGGTCAGGGACTTATCATTCCTCTTCTACTGACAGACAGGCTATATTAGAATAGGATTCACCTAAGAAGATTCAGAATGATTTCAGGTTATCAGATAGTTATGTGAGCCTTTTTTAAGTAATCCATTACTTTTTCCATATTTGTGAAGATGATACTTCTCAATTAATAGGAATGTCAGTTTTGCTTGTTCATTCATTTATGCGGTAAATGCGCTAAGATATCCCTGAGAGCTTGAATAAGCTCTTTCCTTCAGTACTAGAATTATCAAGAATGTAAGTCAAATAAATCGCCCATAGACACACTTAGTCTGAAAAAAGTCAATGTTGGGACAACTGACAGGACTTCTCTACTCCTGACACTTAGATTTTTACTACAAATAATTAGTCCTTCCCTGTTTAGTAGTATATGTTTCAGTTTCTGTTAGTTAAAATGGGATCTTTCATATTTGCTGGCGAAACATGTTGTCAGAACATAGGGATTTAGCAGAATTGTAACATGGAGAAAAAATACAGACCTCCACTGGAAAGAAAGATGGAGTAAGAATGGCAAGTGTACATGTTTGCAATATATATTCTGATGTACAAGGCTCTTGGCTTGCCTTATAAACATACATAATCAGTAGTTCTTACTTAAGTAATTTAGATTTACAATATTGTTGCTTGAGTAACAATATTGTCATCTTTGTAGGAAGAGACGTTCTAATGCAGTTGTGTATATTCTACTAGTTTGTATTATTTGTGCTGGGACTTTTCACCTGGAGTTTTAGTTATGTATTAGTTTTGTGTATTTGAGGATTAACATTCTGTTTATTTGATACAAAATGTTAAGATAAAATTTTGAAAACTTATAATGATGAAGATTTTTACTTTCTACTATGAATCCCTTTATTAAAAGCACTAGGGAGATGGAGCAGACAGTTTAAAGCAACATACTGTGTTTTCTTCTTTCATAGATAATGGAGAGAAACAGCAAAAACACTACAGGCTTTCATCAAAAGCCTCTCCAAATGCTAGTTCTCAGTTGCCTGCATTGCCTTTGGCAGACCAAGACTCTGCGTCTTACAAAGAAAGATTTATCCCTCCTGAGCTTAGCATCTGGGATTATTTCATTGCAAAGGTAATTTTTTGTTGTTAGTAAATTGAGTGTCTTCTGTTACTTCGGAATTGGCAATTCTTTTCTTCTTAGTCTTTATGCTAGGTATTGATTCAGATGTGTAATAGAATACATCTGAATGCCTGTTTTTATTGCTCATACTTAGTTATTTCTAAAACACTGCCAAGAAGTATTTTTGAAATAGCTTTCTTAAAAACTGTTGTGATTAAATTGTTTTCAGATAATGGTATGAATGAAATGTTGGTTTTTATACGTGCAGGATACAAATGTATAGGTAATTATGGGCCAGCTATTAGTGAACAAGGAAATGTGAGAAGCATTTTATCAACTATTTCAATTAGGTGAAATGAACGTGTATACTCACTGAAAACAAAATTGTTACCTTCTGTTAAATCTGCTGTTACATAATTGTGTGGAGTGGTGTGCACATTTCTATTATCAAATCTCGGCTATATCACCAAAATAAATGTGTAAGCAGTATTGGAGGAGCAAGGACAGAAAAGAAATCGTAAACTGAATAACACTGCGAAGCACTGGTGGTGAGCTGATCATAAATTGAACTCTGTAGGGAATGTATAGGATTTTCTTGGTCTTTAGTCCTCTGAGTCCTTTTGAGGATGTCTGGAGGGTTTGGCTTCTCTCTGGCAAGCCAGATTGTCCTACATCTGGTTTGATATATCTGACATGAAAATAAAGCAAAATAAGAATTGGAAAACTGTTAGTGTTTTAATTCTCAGCATTAGAATTTTCAGTAATGTAAAAAGTAGTTAAGCTGTTAAAGTATGTAATACTTATGGACAGTTAACCTTCCCATATAGGTACAGATGCAAACTCCAAATGTTGCTAAACTGAGTAAGATGATAAGCCTTCTTTTTTATGAAAAGTATTAAATATTATAGTGACTTACTTTTTAAAAGATAATTGGCTAGAAGATACTTAAGGAATATTGTTTAAATTTTTAGCCATTTCTTCCATCTCAAAGTAGAGTGGAATATGATTCAGAAGAGAGTCAGGAAAGTGGTGAAGATGATGAAGACATTGATGGAGATGTGTTTGCATCAAATTCACATAATCAAGAGCATTCCAATTCAAATTCGTACAGGTAAGTAGCTTTTCAAACCAAGATTACAGAATCATAGAATGTTAAGGGGTTGGAATGCATCTTAAACATCATCTAACTCATCCTGCCATGGGCAGGGACACCTCCTAGCCCAGATTGCTCTAAGCCCCATCCAACCAGGCCTGGAACACTGCCAGGGATGGAGCAGCCACAGCTTCCCTGGGCAACCTTTGCCAGTGCCTCAGCACCCTGTCTTGCCAACAGTAAAAAATTTCTTCCTAATACCTAAATTTCCTCTCTTTGAATTTGTACCCATTACTCCTTGTCCTGTCACTACAGTTCCTCATGAAGAGTCCCTCCTCAGCTTCCCTGTAGGCCCACTTCAGATACTGGAATTTCACAATGAGGTCCTCACGCGACTTTCTCTTCTCCAGGCTGAACAGCCCAAATTTCTGCAACATCTAGACTTGCATTTCTGGCCTTATATATTTCATATCTCTTTGAATTTGTACCCATTACTCCTTGTCCTGTCACTACAGTTCCTCATGAAGAGTCCCTCCTCAGCTTCCCTGTAGGCCCACTTCAGATACTGGAATTTCACAATGAGGTCCTCACGCGACTTTCTCTTCTCCAGGCTGAACAGCCCAAATTTCTGCAACATCTAGACTTGCATTTCTGGCCTTATATATTTCATAGTAGTGCATTATCTAGTCTTAGTGCTTAATTTTTCACAATGATTATTTTACTCATTAATATATGGTGTAGTGAGTTTTGAATTCAAAGTATCTATAATCTAAACTACAGTTTGTAGTTCCAGTAGTTTATCATGAGGATTTTAAACTCTAAATTTTAATATTGCTTAAGTGAGAAAAATTTATTTTCCTATTAGTAAATGACTTACTAGTGCTTTCTTGTTAGTTGGTCACTGATGAGATTGGCAATGGTTCAGCTGGTACTTCACAATTTGAAGATTTTCTACCCTTTGGCTGGACATGATCTTTCAGGTAATAAGCAGCAGAGTTGTCTCTTCATACCTAATAACCACGTTTAAAATCAGTAATATGTTGAATAGTATACATATGTTGTAGCTTAATTTTAGTTCAAAAGTTCTTAAATGTTCTGATGCTGTTTATCATTCAGGTATATTTATGAAATAACATGGTGGGTGGATGAGATGAGTGGGTGAGAAGAAATACTCAGTAGTTAGCAGCAGTCTTTGCATACTTATGTTTTCTTTGCCTCATAGTCATATAAGAATGTTTAAAATATTTATTTCTTGGTGGAAACACAACAGATTTTTCTGTAATTCAAGTAACATCACTCCTTCTCCATGTTCCATAGAATCATGAAATAGTTTGGGTTTGGAAGGGACCTTTACAGATAATCTAGATCCACCTGTGGGCAGGGACATCTCTCACTAGGTGGTGTGTTGCTCAAAGCCTCATCTGACATTTCAAGGGATGGGACATCCATGGCTTCTCTGGCAACTGGTTTCAGTGTTTCACCATTCTCATCATAAAACATGTCTTCTAGATAGCTAATCTAAATCTACTTCCTTGGTTTAAAACCATTGCTCCTTGTCCTGTCATTGCAGACCTTGGTAAAAAGTCTTCCTCTGTCTTTTTGTTTTGTAAGTCGAAACACTGAAAGGCTACTATAATGTCTCCCTGGAGCCTTCTCTAGTCCAGTCTGAAAAACCCCAACACTCTCAGCCTGTCCTTGCAGACCTTGGTAAAAAGTCTTCCTCTGTCTTTTTGTAAGTCCCCTTGAAACACTGAAAGGCTACTATAATGTCTCCCTGGAGCCTTCTCTAGTCCAGTCTGAAAAACCCCAACACTCTCAGCCTGTCTTCATAGAAAAGGTGTTTCAGCCCTCTTTCAGTTGTCTTTGTGGCTCTTCTCTGGACCCACTCCAACAGGTTGCAGACCTTGGTAAAAAGTCTTCCTCTGTCTTTTTGTAAGTCCCCTTGAAACACTGAAAGGCTACTATAATGTCTCCCTGGAGCCTTCTCTAGTCCAGTCTGAAAAACCCCAACACTCTCAGCCTGTCTTCATAGAAAAGGTGTTTCAGCCCTCTTTCAGTTGTCTTTGTGGCTCTTCTCTGGACCCACTCCAACAGGTCCCTGTCATTCTTATACTGGGGATCCCATAACTGGATGTGGTACCCCAGGTGGAGTCCCGAGAACAAATTAGAGGGGCCAATTCCCCTCCCTCGCTCTACTGGCTGCCCTTCTTTTGATGCAGCCCTGGATGCGGTTGGCTTTTTGGGATGCCAACACACGTTGCCAGGACACTTCCAGTTTTTCTTCCTCGGGTATCCCCATGTTGTTCTCCAGAGGACTGCTCTCAATCTATTCGTCACTCAGCCTGATTACCCTGACTGAGGTGCACTTGTCCTTGTAGAAGCTTGTGAGGTTTACATGGGCTCACTTTTCAAGCCTGTCAAGGTCTCTGTGTGTGCCTTCCCTTCCCTCCCGCAAATCAGTTGAACCTCTCATCTTGATGTTATCTGCAGACCTCCTCGGGGTGCACTCTCTACCACTGTCTGTGTCGTTATCAAAGTTATGTAACAGTACCAATCCCAATATACATCCCTGAGGGATGCTACTTGTTACTGATCTCCATTTGGACATTGAACCATTGACTGTAACTGTTTGGTTGAGATCATTCAGCCGGTTCCTTAGCCATCTAAGTCCATCCTTATCACTTCATTTGGGAGGTAAGGATGTTGTGTGGGACTATGTCAAAAGCTTTACAGAAATCAAAAGCAGAGGACATCGGTTGCTCTTCCCTTGCCACCACTGCAGTCAGCCCACAATAGAATGCCTCCAGATTAGTTGGGCACAATTTGCCCTTTTTGAAGAAATGTTGGCTTTCTCTCATCACCTGTTATCTATATGTCTTGATATAGCTTCTGGGAGGATCTGTTCCATGATATTTAATTTCTGTCAGCATTGGAGTAGTCTATTCCTATGATTAACAATGATAGCAGAAAGCAGTTCATCTTTTTATACTTGAAAATATCATGTTGAGGTTTGAATAAAGGTTATTTGTCTTTGGCTGCTGGAATTATCTTCATCAAGGTTATAATGGAAATGGAAGGAGTTTTATTGTTTACTTGTCTTTCTAGAGCTTCCCGTTAGCTCTCCGATATGCCATGCAGTTTTGAAAACTTTACAGCGCTGGGAACAAGTTCTTCTCCGACGACTTGAGCTGTATGGGGGTCCACCTCAACATTATATTTCAGTTCATGCTTCTGAAGATGCCCTAGCTGCTGGTCCTGCATTGCTTCGCCATAAAACTTTACTCGAGCCTATGAACACCCCATTCAAGTGAGTCTAATTTCTATAAACACTTGACTGTAATATATTTAATATAAAAACAAGCATTAGGTCATTAGTGCATGTGATAGACCAACCGTAAGTTCAATACCTATGCGCCAATTTCTAGATTTGCTGTAATCCATTGATGTTTCATGCATCTCTGATCCAAAACAAGATCAAGAAAAACAAACAACAGTTTCTAATTTTTTTGATATTTTTTTTATTGAAGCTTAACATATGGATTTTAGTGTCTCTGTGGAAAAAAGTGTGGCTGACAATAAAATAAACAATAAAAAATTTGCCTTAAGAGATAACTAAGGACTAGTGACAATTAAATTATTGTCACTCCTTTGGTGGTAACAAAATAATGTTCTTACAAGTATCTTTTCCTAAAACCAGTGAAGAAGTCTTCACTTTTTGTAATATTTGCATAGTTGTGAATTCACACAATTGAATGTTCAACCAGAAAAGTCTGTCTTTTTATTGTAAGATATCTTACAATGGTCACAGTTGTAGTAACTTGAGTTGATTGAAGAGGAACAGCTTAATATGTATCCACTGCCTGACATTAATTATGATTTAAAGTGATTCAGAGTTTGATGGGTTTTGGCCTGTCATGAGCAGCTATATTTGTATGATCACTCATTAGCACTAAACAGAAATGATCCGTGTTGTAAGGAATGAGTTGGGCCAATAAATGATGTTGCCCTTACCACTGTGTAATCTCCTAAGGAGATTTTGCTCACTTGTCCCAAGATGGGAGGAGAAAATGCTCTGTGTTCTTTTCCTTTTCTTTCACTCTCCTTCCTCTTCCTGTCACATGTAGGTTTGTCAGGAAGAGGGTATTTGAGTGCATCCAGATAGGTTTTATATAGTGCGTACAGATCTGTAGTTTTCCTTCTGCATTTCTACTGACTATAGTTTGAGTAGTATATAAGATACTACACTCTTTTATGGGTATGAGCATGATGTAAATAGATATTTTAACTTTGTTCTGTAGATCTAACAGCCATGTTGCACTATCTGTGAAGAGGCTCTGGCAATATTTGGTCAAACAGGAAGAAGTCCAGGAAACCTTTATCAGAAATATTTTTACAAAGAAGCAGTGCCTAAATGAGGTTGGTGTGGTATATAAAATATATAAAATGTTGTTTACTTCTAGGGCATGAATGGTTAATGTACTTGGCTATGACTCTAAATCTACACTATTTCATATAAAAAATATTTGTCCGTTGTTTCATGGAATGCAAAAACAATCAGTCTTTGACTGTAGAATGACATCTAACACAGCTTGTCCATACTCAATCAGTAAGAAGCTGCCTCAAAAGAATGACTAACTTTAAAATTTCAAACATTAAAATGAGTAAATTAATCAGCCAAAGTTCTAAAAGTTTCAGTTTCTCCTTGTCAGTCATCCTGGCTTTTATCCACTACTTTCTGTCATGTTACGATTCCATTTGAATAAGAGAAATGGTCATACAAGAGTTGCTATTTCTGCATTGTAGTAATAATCTGTCCCAGTGTCTAGCTGGATTCCAGGTTCAGTTAAATGTTCTTAAATTGTGGTTCTATAATGGACTTTTTTTCTTTCTAGTTAGTTCCTTCTTTTTTTCTTACTCACCTCTGCTCCCAATAATTTGAAAGAATCACTGGTATTACAGAAAAAATGTGGAGTAGCAGAAACTGAGAAAAGAAGCAGATCTGGACAAATTAGATATTCAGGAGAAAGAATATTCATTACTAGTAAAGTCACAACAGCAGAGAGTTCTGCATGGCCTAATTGTCCAGTCACAAGTAGAATATTAGCTTGTCTGAGTAATGTTGGCTAATTGTGTTCACTACAGAATGTAGTTAAAAGGAAGATTGTTCCTTTTGTTCTTTGAAGATACACATTTCTGATCATGTCTTATGTTAATGCAGACATATTGTTATGTTGTATGGAGAGGTCTTTTGGAATATTGTAGATGTGCTTTATGTGTTTTAAAGTAGGTTCATTTATAGCCTTACATGGCATAGGTGTGTTGGCTTTATTTTTTTATCCTCTTGTTGCTGATAAATTCTCAGTGGAAATTGCTAATTTTACCAGAAATTTGACTTTTGGGATGGACAAGATGCTGTTACGGTACAGAGTAGGTTAATCAGAGTCTTCTGTACTAAATAGAGAGTTTAGAATTTGTTAATTATTGTTACTGCATAAAATACATGTTTATGTGTACAAACATGATGTTGTGTTTCAATTGTTCTGTTGGGGTAAATAACAAGGAATTAAAGATTTTCTTGATACATTGCGTGTTATGTCTTACCTTTATGCTTTGTTTGGCGGTTCTTCTTGGTGAAGTCATTAGAGGAGCACAACGAAACTATGAAAAATTCTGTGATGGAGGAGCCCATCATCAATAAGGTACACAGTAGTTATTGTCATATTTCTTAGGCCATACATCATTATGAAATATTTCCTTTTTGAAATGGTGCTGATCTCACTTTAAAAAAAAACCCCTTGCTGACAGAGCCAGCAAATGTAAAAATTCACTTTTGGAAGAGATTGAGTTAAACTAGTCTTGTTACAGAGTTTATATGAAACTCAGTTATCTTAGAAAGTTGGATTAAGCAACCAGATACAAACAATATGTATTATCAAACTCTGTAGCTATGCCAAGTGTAGAGCTGAGGTTGAGATTTGCACAAGTGACAAAAATTCACAGTACATACAGGCCCTTCCACCAGTACGAGATGGCTAGAATAGTTGCCTATAAGTGAAGGTGGTTACTGAAGTTAGAACAGTTAGTTTGCTACTGAAAAATTTCACTGAACCTTAAGTTTAAGATGGTGGCAAATGAACCCATATAACAATTTTGTAGCAACTTTCTTGAAAGATTGGTATGAGAGACTAAAAAGGTCTCAGCGTGGAAATTCAAACAAATACTGTATTCTTCTGGCTTTCATTTACAAAACCAGTGTGAAGACAGAAATGAATACACCCTGTGATGTACTTGGACTACCTTGTTATTAATTATGTGATAAAGCAGTATTAGCAAATAGGAAATTGGAACTGACTGGGGAAAATAATTTTTCTTTCATGCAGGTTTGTTCATCAAAACACACAGATAATGTTTTTGTATCTGTTTGTCACTGCAGTTTTGTGCAGTTACAGATATATAAAATCAGTGAAGTATCAATTTTGATATTAAAGAACGTATTCTATGTCTTAGTCTATAACAGCCATACACTGTTTTCAGACTTTGAAAAAGACAGCTTGTAGTTCTTTGACAGCACAATCTTACTGTTTTTCAAGTAAAATATCATTGTTTAAGTCTTAAGGGTTAGAAATTAGAATTTGAAGATTAGAGGCTGGGAAATGGTAGTTTTGGAACAATTCTTTCTGTTTTGAAGAAAATACAAAATTTTACATGTGAAATTCAGGTTTGAATTTTCAGGTCACCATTAGTTTGGCAGTGCCATTTCTTTTTTCTACTGTAATATAATTTTGTAGCTGCAGCAGACTGGGTCTGTAATCTGTCAATCTAATACTTGCAATGCTGAGGTCTTTAATTTTAAACAGGAGTGCTACAGTGCTGATAGACTTCAGAATTTTGTTCTGTGCTGGCATGTACCTGAATGCATTTCTAAAATACAAAATGGTAGACAACAGTCAAATACAACATTGAATCACATTAAGAAAAAGAAAAAAGAATATGTGATAGTAAAAAGTTTGTGGTACTGGATACAGGATTCCAGATTTATTTAATTGTGGAGAATTGTGAAGAGATTAGCTGACAAAGTACAAGTTTATTTTCCTGTTCAGGAGCTTGCCTGGACCTGTTTTTGTACTATTTAATCAGTTTCAGTGGCAAAAAAGTGTTTGCTAAGGGCATCAAAGACTTAGCAAACTTTTTTAAAGAGCAGAACATCAAGACTCGAATTTTTAATCAGCAGCAGCAGGTGTACATGTTGCCTTGCTGGTTTTCAGCATCCCTGAAAAACTTGAGAATGAACACAGTACTGTAACTTCTGTGACAAATTACACTTTCTGTGCTGCTGTGGTAGTCTCAACGTGGCAGTAGGAAGCTAGATTCTTACACAAAACAGGTTTACCATAATTATTACAGGCTATATTTGTTGAGTTTTCTTAGAATTAAGATGGGTAAAAAATAAAATATGACATTTCATACAAAGCAGTGTTTGGTCTCTATTTCCAGTAAAAATCAATGTTGCATAGGAGTTTGCATTCAATTGTGCTTTGCTTTTTAAATACAGATAGAAACAGATTTGCGATATCCAGGAGGCAAGGCAAGAATAATCCATAAAGAATCCGACATCATTACTGCTTTTGCAGTCAATAAGGTGAGTATAAAGGAGGTAGAATAATCTCATTGTGTTGTGCTTCAACTTGATAAACAGGTGGTAGTCCCATTGTGAATGAGTGAGATAGGCATTGCCAGCCATTATGCTACTTTTAGCACTTAAAACTTAGAGTGCTTCCTTGTCTAAAGCACTTCATAATTACCTTTTCATAATTAAACAGTTCTACTACAAATTGTCTTTTTATTGTACAAGGGATTGAGGAAAGGGAGAAGTGGTCTCTTCCTTTTTTTTTTGTGATTGCGTGTAGGAGTATTTTTCCTTTTCTGTCAGAGAAAACCAGGAGGTAGTCTTTTCTTCTCCTGTTTAGCCATGTAACCTGTCAGAAGTAGAGGAAAGGAGCTTGGTTGCAAGCATTGGAGTGTAGCTCATCTTCTGGGAAGAGCAAGGAGGTAATAGAGCTGCTTGAAAGAGGTATAAGATAGAAGGTGTATGTGATGCTGTCCCAAATGCAAATAAGTAAAAGGGAAATGTCAAGTTTAAATGTATATAAATTTGTAGACATAATGTTTGGGTTTTGTAAATTGTTTAAGTGTATCTTTTTGTGAACAGTGGTGCTATAACCAGAGAAAATTACAATAAGCTGCTTTTTGAGGTTTCCTTTTATATCTGCCTTTGTGTGTGCTACTTTTTTTCAGGCAAATCGGAACTGCATTGCAATAGCATCGAGTCATGATATTCAAGAATTGGATGTTTCTGCGATTTTAGCTACGCAAATCTATACCTGGGTTGATGATGATGTGGAAATAGAAAATAAAGGGTATATGTTCTTTGTTTCCAATATCACAACTTGACTGTGTGTAAATCAGAGTAAAAAAGCATGATATTTAATGTTGCTGTTTGGAATCTTAACTTAAAATGTTTTCTCATTTCTAGGGCTGATGATTTCTTAGTTATACATGCTCGTGATGATCTGGTAAATGTTCAGGGAACCACTCCTTACACTCATAGTAATCCTGGCACACCTATCAATATGCCTTGGCTTGGTAGTACACAAACTGGCAGGGGTGCATCTGTGGTAAGTAACTTGTCAAATATTAGTTTGTGTATTTGTCTGCTCAGTGTTGCTGGCTGTATTTTATGGTTAGCCTGTAAGTAAATGTAGCTTTTCTGTGTAATCAAGATGAGCTGAGTTTTTTTATAACAATTCACTTAAAATGCTGCCGGAATTTAAAAGACACCAAGTAAGCCAGTAAAGCTTTTAGTCAAGCCATATATGCTTTTTTTACTTAAGATGCATCATTTAAAAATAAAGAACCAGAGTTCAGGTGAGAAGTTGCATCATAAATTGCTCTTGAATGGCTTAAAGCCAAATGCTCTATCTAAAAAGACATATTCAGATTTCAGGATATAAAATCCTAAGTATTAAGTCGTAATATTTATATGAAATGTTGAAGTGGCTTTTATTTTAAGCATAATTTTCAGCTTCATTCTGACTTTTAGAAATAGATTTTGTGTCTGGAGTGAAGCTTGGCCCTGTGCAAAAAGCTGTTAGGTCAGATTTAATGCAGATCAAATGATGATTCTAATCTGGCCATTGATATTCTTATTTTAGTTGCTGTGCAGCATGGTTGCCTTCTAATAATGCAGATATGTTGATTAGTCAGCTGGTTGATGCTTATTCAGAGACACTTAACAGGGCTGAAATGCTTTTACAAGACATCAGTATCTCAGTCTTAATGCACACAGATGTGGAGTTTTCATGCATAACTGAATGCATGGGGTCTTGTGACTTTGCTGCACATTGTGTCATTTGACAGCTCAAAGCAAGTCTAGAACTAGTGGCAGAATGAAATAATCATATGTTAACTTTGTAGTTGGTTTTTGAAAATGTTTGGTGATCAGGAGGAATAAATGAGTAAGCATTTATAAGAATGATAATGCTATCCATGCATGAAGTGGGTGTTGTGCCATTACCTGCCTTCTATTTAGGAACTTCTGAATCTAGTTGCCAGTGTTGCTGGTCTGTTATCACGATCAGGTTTCTTCTGCAAGTATTCTTTGAATGCCTTCACCACTTTCTCCTCTCGCTTCCATTTTTTTTTGTGTGTGTGTATATATATATAAGTGTGTATGTGTGCTTGTGTATTTCTCAACATTAAGTAATTACATAACTTATTGATGTAATATGTACTTACATGACTTTCTATTTTATATGTAGTAAAACTTTCTTCCTAAAGATATTAACCTGTGCTTTTGTTAAATGCATTTGCTATTAAACTTTGGACCGAAATTTTGTCTGGTATACTGTTTGACTGTGGCAGAGAACCAACCACACCACAGAATGACACTTGCCCACTAGGGAGGGGAAATGAAGGTACCCAATGAAGAACAAAGTAAATGAAAGAAGATATAGGGATTCTTGGGAGAAACTAGTGTTACTGTGGAATGACTCAAACCTGGAAGAAAAGCTATATACTACTTTCTTCCTTTGGATATCGCTTTTGATTCTTGTCATCTTTGTTTTTCCATCATGTGCAGCTCACGTAGTAGTTACAGTACACTGTTTTCTACCATTACTGGCTTTTTAGTCTTGTTATCTTTGCTTCACTTTCATCAACAAGGGATACTGTTGCACTTACGATGCTCAGTCAGTTAATGTTCTATTAGCTCTAAGGTGTTGCTATAACTCTTCACTGTTTCCTGTTACACAGTTCGGACAAGGTAAGTAAGGAGGTTCACCACTAGACACTTCAGCACAATGTGTTTACATAGTTCTTCCAGGAGGTGTTTCTAAGAGAGCACTGAAGTAAATAATATGTACCTACAGCTTTGAAACCCAGGTAATCTTCAGAACAGCCTGTCTTAGAAGTCAGTGTGACTGACACCCATATTCAGAAGTTTAACTACTGGTGGGTTGGATTTTAAAGTGTGTTTTTCATTCTTCAGGCTTCCTGTACATTATGCCCAAAGCACCCAACAAAGCAACTAATGCTCTAACCATCAACTGGTGTAAGGGGAAAATGAGGGCTAGTGATTATCAAATGTCAGCTATATTGATAATGGAAGTATTGGCATTTAGTAATTATACTTGTCTTCTAAATCAGATATGCTGCACTACAGAATTATGTCAGCATAGTCTTTCAAAAGCATATTTCTGTAAGTTTACATTTTTCCAAAGCATAATCTGACAGAGGTTAGGAGGTCATGATGCGTGCTTGTCTGTTGAATGAAGAAAAATGTCTTCTATTGACTTCTGGGTAAAAGTTAGTAGCTCTGAAACTCAACACGGTCCTTCGTTTTAGTGGAGAAATAGAGTGAGCATTAATTCCAAAGAGATGAATTCTTTCGTTTACATGTAGAGATAGGTTGTAAGTTTAGAGAGCAAATTATTGCAGTTATTTACTGATTGGCGTATGCACTACTGTTCAAGAATATCACCCTCTGTTGTCTTGTCCTAAATCTTATAATGTATGTATTGTTTTATTCATCAAACCATCGAGCTTTTTTTCTTTGACATGTGAGACATTTACAAGAGAAAGAAAAGGAATTAATATATATATAATTTTTTTTAAGATCTTTCCTTTTATATTCAGGAGAGCGTTTTGAAATAAGCTTGAGGAACCAAGAGGCTTAAATTTTTCTCTTCAACAACTAACAGACCTTTGAGAATTGAAAGATCTAAATCTGCTTCTAAAATGTAATCAAGAGGATTGCAGTTATTCCACTAATCCAAACCCAGGGAAATTTTAGCAAGAAAATAAATTAGTTCCTTTCGAAGTGCTTCTCCTCATTTGTCTTTGTAAACTGATAATTTGGAGAATATTGCTTTTCAACTCTTTGAATCATATTTAGGAATATGAAGCACATAAATGTTTGTAAATCATGCCTCCTTCCAGCTTATATGATTGGAGGCCAGGGGAGAATAGCATACTCAAAATAACTGATCACTGTCTACTATCCCGTGAAAAATTAGTGTCAAAATACTGTACAAAATTATAGCAGTTGAAAGTCATAGATGGATTTGATGATCTTAAATGTTTTCTCCAATCTAAATGATCCTCTGAAAGTATTCAGTGTTAGCTTGCTGTTGGTGTGTAGGAAGTGGTAAGCTGCTGTGTTGAAGATGAATGCTCTGACAACAAAATTTTGTTTGTGTTCTCATTTGAAGTTAACACCTGGCACAAAAATAAAATCATGCCCTTCTCAAATGCTCAGGTAAAAATATATGCATGAGCAAAACGAGTCCAGCAATTTTCTGAGGAAAGGCAGTCCTCAAAGTAGTCAGATACTTTTGAGAACTATCAGGAAATAAAAGAATGAAGACTTCACTTTTTAAAAAAATTCCTTAATACAAGTTAGTAGATATATTGCTTATTCTGGATGGCCACAAATTACAACCTTTCAGTCAATGGCAGTAAATTAACTAGACTTGAAAATAAATATATTCCTATCTTTTACTTATGTTAAAGTTTCTTTACCTCTTTCTTTACATGCTTCTGCCTCTCTCTTGCTTATCTTACAATATTCAGGAATATTCCAATAAATTTAATGGAATCAGAAAGGAATTGGCAAGAAAAGAGGTAAGACTGTGGTCTAAGGAGTGTTTATATTTGGAAGCATATATCTCTGAAGCAAAAATTTAATATTTACCTAGATGTATAAAACTGCAAAAGTATTAACGTCTACACTGGTCTTGGAATAAACTGACTTCTCTCTGAATCTTTAAACCCAGTACATGCATTCAGTAGGAATTTTTCTAGGAAACAACTCTCTGCAATCACTAGTTACTCTCTAGTTGAGTGACTTTTTGTTCAGTAGTACTGTTTTAATTTTTTCTCTATTTTGTTTGCAAATTGACAGATGCTCAAGAAAGCCATTAATAATGTGAGAAGAATGGCTTCTCATCCAACATTGCCATATTGTAAGTTCAGTATTCTGCTATTTTGTACTAGCACAGCAATCTATTATATATTTTGAAAGTTGTTTATAAGCCACACTTTACTGAAACTATTTTTTATTTTGAAAAATAATATTGGGGGATATAGAATAGCCTTTAGAAAAATTAATATTTTTATAGCAGAAAGTACCATGTTTCTGTTTTATTTGTGACTTGGGTGAAAGATGGCAGGAAAAAGATATGTTACTGTCTCCAAGTAAATCGCTTCATATTTTAGTACCATCTAAATACAGTTCTTAGTTAAATACTGAATAGCATGACTGTAATTTTCAGTGGTACCTAGTACGCCTACACCACACCAGATACTATGGCACATATTTGGGCACTAGTTATTTTGAGCTGATGTGAGATATCTTTAGATTTTGGAAGCAACCTTCCTTCTAGACTCCTACAACACCTGTGAAAAATCATGCAAATATATTCTGTTGCAGACCTGACAGGTGCTCAAGATGGTAGTGTAAGAATGTTTGAATGGGGTCATGCTCAGCAAATTACATGTTTTCGATCTGGTGGCAACTCAAGGGTAACTCGGATGCGATTCAATTACCAAGGAAATAAGGTAACTGACAATGCTTCTGTACTTACTCTCCTTCCTACCCCCACCCCAGTATAATTGTAAATTAGCAGAAACATCATGTCCTTAAGTCTTAACTAGTTTCTTGGAATTGTGGGTAGTTTCTCTGCATACTTATATGTGTATTTACTATTAATACACCTTTTCTTTCAGTTTGGAATTGTTGATGCTGATGGATATATAAGTTTATATCAGACAAATTGGAAATGTTGTCCACTTACTGGAACTTCACCTAAACCATATTTGGTAAGATGAAAACTAAATTGGTTTCCATAAACTTTTGTTGTACTCTCTTATTTCTTTCCCCCTTCAGAATAGTTAGGAGAGGGCAGGGATTGTGCTGATAACCAGTATTAATCAAGATTAAATTATGTATTGTTGCCGTCCTGTGATCTGTATGACAGACAAGTTATTAAATTCTAATCATGATTACTAGGAGGAGAGTAGAAAATGGCATGTTAGGTCTGAAATAACTGTAATGTTCAATGAGACTTGTCAATAATTGTCAATTAATTGACAGTTATGCAGGACTGGAAAATGCATGAAAAATTGTGTCAGAAGGCATGACTATACCTTTATATCCCATGTTCTTCAAGTTGCTTTTGAAAGAGCTTACTTTCTCAAGGAACCTTAGGATTTCATGCTTGCGCAAAATACATTTTCTTTTTAATCAATAATTTCTAAACTGCAATTTTTCAGACATGGCAGTGTCATAACAAAACAGCCAATGACTTTGTTTTCATCAGTTCATCATCTCTGATAGCCACAGCAGGATTGTCTTCTGACAACAGGTAAGAACTGCTGTGATGATGCATGAAAGTGAATTGGTGCCATATTTTCTCTCCTCCCACACACGATTTTTTTTTTTAGTCATTCTTCTTAAGCAGTTGAAGAACCACCTGTACTTCTGCTTGTTTTCTTTCTTTGTGGAAAGGGCAGAGGAGCGATGCTTGTAGCTAAATTCATGTTCCTACTATGGGAAATTCCACAGGGAAGCACAAATCCTTTGCTCATGTTCTATATGAGGAGGGGAAGTGGAGAGGGAGGTCTTGAGTGTTTCCCTAGGATTCAGTGATAGGATGTCTGGGAACGGCTCAAAGCTGTGTCATGGCAGGTACAGACTGGACAATATTTCTTTAGCAAGAGGGTGGTCAGACACTGGAACAGGCTTCCCTGTGAGGCAGTCGATGTCCAAAGCCTCTCTATGTTTGAGACATTTGGACAATGCCGTTAATAACACACTTTAACTTCTGGTCACCTCTGATTGTGTCAGGATGGTGGACTAGATGATCCTTCTGTGTCCCTTCCAGCGGAACTGTTCTGTTGTGTTTTAGTCATATGAACCTGTATTAAATTATTTTTATAGATATAAGGGATTTGCATAGCTCTTCATTTCATACTTTCTTAAGTATTGATAAATAAATAGAAAAAACTGCTAACATTCCTGTGAATTCTGCTGCAAAATATTATCTCAATATAAATCCTTTATGGGGGAGTAGCCAGTTGTTAGATGATTGTGTAGAAGGCATGTTCTTGCAGTATATATATGAGTCTGCTCAAAAGAAATCATTGGAAGTGTTTACAGTGCTTTTATGCCTGAACCAGTGTTTCTAAGGTTCAGATGACTTTCAAGTGTTCAAAATACTTTAGAACATTTATCACTGAATGAAACTGTATTCTTTTTCCACAGAAATATTTGTCTTTGGGATACTTTGGTTTCACCTATGAATAGCTTGGTGCATGGTAAGTAAAATACGACCACCGAAGTATTTGGTCATGGTAAAAATTGCATATTTGTGTGTCTGTCTTTATGGAAAAGTCAGTGTGGGAAGTAATTTTAACACTAGCAGTAAAACATCTTTTGCCATTATGTGTGAGTATACCAAGTAGGAATATAAAACCAGATTGTTGAGAAATTTAGTATTCTGTGTAAATGATTGGTTTCATGGACATGAGCACTTTCCTTTGCATACTTTCTATCTTTGCATCCCAAGAGCAACCCTGACCGCCAGATGCTTCTGTTCCTTTTTAAAAGATTCTGAGCAGTTCCTGCTTGTAGTGATTAGCATGTTGAGAAGCCAATAGCTATAGCATTGTCAAAACAACAATTTTTAGCATGGCTGTGAGATACGTTTTTGCAGGACAGGTATCTACACCCTCAAGTTCAAAGTTCCTATGGTTGTGCCTCTACTCATAAATCAGGGTGGTCCCACTCCAAGTTTTTTAATTAGTTAAGTATTAGACCAAATAATGATACTATAAAGACAGTGTCAGGCACTTGCAGGTACGTTCTCTGTTTGGAGAATATGAGAGGACATGTTTTTTATGAACTGACAGGTATTTCATTGCCTCTCTGAAAATCCTGTCTTCATGGAAGACATGACTGTAAAATAGTTGTCTGAAGATATGTATATAAATAAACACACCTAATTGTCTAGAAAATACTCATTGATATTCTTACTAATATGTTGAACTAGCAAATGTACAAAGATCTCGTAACTGTGTAGTAAATGTCACAGTTGAACTAAGAGATGAACTCAACTGCCATACTTGTAAAGCAGTGCATTTTTGCTTTCAGAGGTTGTCCAGTTCCATGGCACTTTTATTCTATGTATTATGGCAAATACTGTGGAATGTTTTAAATGCTTTAGGTATAGATATCTACAAATAGTTTTACAAAAATGCTTTAGAAGAGTTATTCCTATAAGTATACTTTCTGTGATGCAATAAATGTTTAGCAGGGTTTCAGTAGTTTTATTACTAACATTTTCTTGCAAGAAATATATTTCAATATCTAAAATACAGAAATAAGATCAGAGTTGTGAACTTGAAGTATGGTGAATGCTTAAGTGTACATGAGAGACTCAGGAAGTTTCTAAAGATAAATTTAGAGAACCTTTGAACTACCAGTACAGTATACTGAGCTTTGTTCTGGGAATTGTAATTTTCATTCACTTCCTCCACTAACTTGGGGGATTAGACATTACCAAATAAATGCAAAAAGCAGAAGATCAGAAATAAAATAATCAGTGGAAACTTGCGAGATATTTGGGCAACCAGTTTAGGAGGACATTTCTGATAGGAATTATATGCCTTAAAATAACAAACATTAGAGACTTCGAAAATAATCTGTTTCTAGTCACAAATTCATAGTTTGTGATTACACAGGGATAGGAAAAGAGGATATAATCAGACTTTAACTGCTTAATTTGAGAATACTGCAACTTCAGAATGTCTGTGATCTGGGCTTAGGTGTGTATATGTGGTACTTCAATAAATGAACTGGTTGTGGTCAGTTGGATTACAGTATCAAAGTCACTGTTGTTACTGTCTTGAACCATTAGAGGTTGATGAAAAATTGAAGTTAGTATTGTGTGGTTGGTCTAAACTACTTTGCTTTGGCTTTCAGCTTTTGTCTGTCATGACAGTGGAGCAACTGTGCTAGCATATGCTCCAAAATATCAGCTGTTAATATCTGGAGGCAGAAAAGGCTTTACATGTGTAATTGATCTTCGCCAAAAGCAGCAGCAACAGTTACTGCAGAGTCATGATTCTCCAGTCAAAGCAATTGCTGTTGATCCTACAGAAGAGTATTTTGTCACAGGATCTGCTGAAGGCAACATCAAGGTATTAATGAGGGGAGGGAGCAGAGATGACGTGTACATTCAGAAAGAATCTTGTATAAATGTGGCATAATCAGATGTCATATGTTCTGGATTTTTTCTCAACCTTCACTTTTGCATTTACTACCTTTATTGTGTAATGTTAGTCTTAACTTGTAGTCCTCCTTTTAATTAGTCTTACCTTCGTCCCTGTATATATTTCCAATAATAAAAAATTAATGTTCTATATCTGTGTCATTACAGATTGCTACATATTTTTCTTTTACAGTTACTGTCAGAAAAATAAATGCAAAATGTAGTCAAATTTCTATATGACTTACTACTGCTGAATTTTAAGATCGTATCAATTACCTTGTAAGAGATCAATGTTTTGTTGCTTTTTGCAGGTATGGAGTCTGTCTACATTTAATCTTCTTCACACTTTCATCAATGAGCATGCTCGACAGTCTCTCTTCAGAAACATTGGGACGGGAGTCATGCAAATTGAGACAGGACCAGCAAATCACATATTCTCCTGTGGTGCTGATGGAACAGTGAAGATGAGAATCTTGCCTGACAGATTCAGCCCTTTAAAGGATGTGTTAAAAAATGATGTGAAATTTATGATCTAATGTTTTTCTCCTAACAGTGAATAGCATTTCCGTTTTGGCACCCCTGAAAATATTTTTTCCTGGAACTAACAAACAAAGCAGATGCACAATGATAGCTTGTGATACAAAGATGTTTTAGGTTTTTTCTTTTATTTCCCCCCTGCTCTCCCCGTATTTGTTACCTGGAGCTTTTAGTTCCTGATGTACTAATGCCTTAAAAATTAACAAGGTCCTTCAGATTTTGATCATTGCCTAAAGTAAAAGCTACAGATAACTCTGAATTATGTAGTTATAGTAATATTAAGATGTCACTGAAATAGTTTACTCTTCCTTTTGAGGTAGTTACAGTCCCACCTGAAGTGTGGCATCTGCTTATATTCAACATCTGGCCACCTCCTAAAAGCATGTCTGTTCAGATGGAAACCTTAGATAGCATTCTTTTTCACTGTGGCAACCATAACTGTCTCTCTTCTCAGCTTGTTTAGTCCACTGACAATAAAAATTTATACCTATGTATTGAAGAGAAACGAAGTCTGTAGGAGTGAACACTCCTTGTCATGCGAACATTCATATAACGAGCCACTCTTTGTCTCCATTCCTGGAATCCAGGCTGTTTACCTCTCTAACTTGCCTGATCTCCTTCCTCTGATCTAGGGTAGAAGAAACTGAAGGATGTTCTGTAACTTGTCTTCTGTTCTATAGCCTGAATCACTGCCATCAGGATGGCAGGCTTACCTTTAAAAATAAATATATTTTTAACCCTGAACACTCCCTTTACAAAAATATGTAAATATGAACGGATATCTTCCGAGTAAAATAGTCAAGATTATGGATGAAGCTTTAATCTTGATGATAAAGATACAGGAAGATACTACTTTAGGATGTGGCACTAGAATTTCTTCGAAGACTATTTATTTTGATGTCTGTAAAGGGGAAAAAACCCAACCTAATTTATTTTTACATTTTTTTCCATTAAGACTTCTGTTTAGCCCAAAGATACTCAGTTCATTCTTAGCACTTAATGTTCTTATTTGTGTGCTTTTCCTAAGTACTTTGAAAAAGAAGACAGAAAAAAATTGAACAGCAAAGTACTTCAACACTGTCAGTCTTTGTAGTGTATGTTTACATCTGGTGTCAAATGAAAGAAAAAGAAAGGATAGATGGATTCTTTTTTTTTTGCCAAAATATTAAACTGTGTAACTTAAATGTTTGACCAAATTATTAATGCACAAAGCCTTTACATTTTTTTAGTCAGCTAGACTGTTTCTGTAACTATTTTGGTTTACTTTTGCTTACTTGAGAGCTTGACAAATGTTTAATTTGTAAATTAGGTGTGAGGCTGGATTACTTGAATGCCAATGGTGTACTTTTTGCTAAAAGATACTTTGTGAAATATAGCACCAAGATATTAACTGTAAAATAAACTTGTCAAATTAGCAACTATGGGGATAAATAAAGAATAGCAGAAATGAAGGGCTTGCAAAATGAACTATGTAACATTCTCAGGATGCTTTTGTCTTAAGAATATAAAGTTGTTTAAAAAGATTTTGTAAAATGTATTAAGGTCATTATAAATGTATGTTTTGCAAGTTGCAGTGCAAACACTATGAAGGTTTTTATGCACATAACCTGAATTTTCAAATTGTGCAATAAAAAGAATGTGAATATTTTGCCATGAGGAAACGTGACAGCATTTCAAACTGGTACAGCTGTTCAGTGATTCAGTTGTAATTGTTCTTCCTTAACACATAGATTGAAATCAAACTTGATATCAAAACAGTTTAAGTACAGCGATGGACCAGAAAAGTGACACCACCTTACGAAACAGACTTGCCCAATGAGTATGTTGTATAGCTCAGTGGCTGAGTTTCTAATATGCTGTGTTCTTACGGAAGAAAGGAAACAATGGAGTAAAGAGTAGCACACTCCCTTAGAATCAGCTGAACCATGACTTTGTAGCTGCATCAGTTTTATACACCCACTGAACAAAGTTACATGTGCAAAACTCATGGCAGTATTATATAGTTACATCCTTGCTGTTTTGTCCTTAACTATTTATATCTCATTAGCTTTAATATTTTGAGCTCAAGTTTATTGTACTGGCAATCACAAAAAGCTGTCTTACCATCTGTGAACTGAGCAGGTTTTATATGTAATTTGCCAAGACATACAATGTTGTCATTTTTCTGAGTAGAGCTGCACAATGAAAAATCCTGGCAAACATGCTTATGCCAGAAAAGTACTGACTGTGAGCAGGCATTTTCAGTAATGTTTATAGTTACCATAAGCTTTTCTCAAAACTCAATTCTGTAAAATCAAAATGTATTTGCCACACCTTTATAATCTTTCCAATAAATCCTGCAGAAGCTCAATCTTCTAGAGTTCCATGTTGCTGCTATTTCATTTACAAATCTGTTGTTTGTATAATGTTCATTGATGTTTAACTATTGTAAGACAAATTATTGGTAGTTTTCTTGTGATGATGGAGTCAAAATGAGTTAACTTCTCCTGTATCTGAAACTTTTAAAGGGACACTCTCAACTTTAAATCTAGTCATTGGGGAAGAACTGAACTCAAAATTCTGCCAGCTGTTGCCCTTAACAACTTCCACTTATTTTTGTCCTCTGGCAATTAATGCTTTTTCCCTGCTGCTATGCAAGTTACTGAAACTGAAGGGTAATAGTGGCTACAGAGGGTTCATTGCTTGAAGTAGCCATGTGCACAAATTGAATGTAAAATTTCATTTTTCAGTGCTGAATCAACAAAACTTTATTGTCCAGACAAAATAACTTAGCTTGTAGTTGATAATGTCCCTTTCAAATATCATAGACTGGTACTTGTGACTTATGTTTGTCTGTGTAGCAGTACATAATGCTATGAGAGTGTGCCATTCTTGTGTTGCTAAATGATCCAAGTTCTTTATGGTTACTTTGGTAGCTTGTGAAAGTTATAACTCTGGTCATCTGGGTACTTAAACTGGCTTTCTGTGTCACATTTAAGTAGAAAATTGTCATCTGACAGCTGATGTTACAGGATGTTTATGGGGAAAGATAGAATAGATGCAGGTTTTGTACCATGCCACAGTGGTGCAAGGTGGGGTCATACATGCTCTACTGCATTCTAGGAACCTTGCTACCAGTTACAGAAAATAAACTGTTGAGGTATCTTACATTAGGTACCACCCCCTTCCTCTTAAGAGCACCCAGTGTTAGATTAGTTGTAATAGTTAAAAAAAAGCAACAGTGATTAAAAGGAAATAAGCTTGGGGATAATCTCCAAAGTAATTTTTTTCAAATGTTTATTTTTACTAAAAATAGCAAAACCAGCTCTTGTGGCAGGTTCACCACACTGAACAAACTACTTTCTATAAAATAAAGATTGATTTACCTGGTTTCTTGGTGTTTCTTATTCCTCCATTTCTAGCTCTAAAATCTGCATAATTTTGATCTTTCTCCTTTTTGTGTGCAGTTTAGTTTGTGAGTTTTTTTAATGCCTTTGCTTTTCATGCTTTAGCTTTCCTTGTACTTCCTAAGTGGAATGATGTGTGGCTGATGTAAGCAATGACACTTGCTGTGATTGTCTTTCACAACTTTTTTAACCGCTTTGCTGTGTCAAACTTGAAGAAGCTCTTTGGGTACCTCATCTCTATAACGT